TTTTAACCACCACACCACGCTGGTTCTCACCACGTAGGCTTTTAACAAAGGGGGGGGGGCGCTGCCGATGAGTCAGGACGGATGAAAGGAAGCTGGCTCTATCAAGGAGTCTGCGACTGGTTTGGAATCGCCCCACGAGACGGGTTCCAACCCGGGGTCCCCGAATCCCGTTCCAACGACCCAGCCCCCCCCGTTACCGTGAACGCACCAACATCGGTGATTTTGGAGCAGATCTCGGTGAGCCGGTCCCCGGGGCTCTTGTCGGGGGTGTTCAGGACCGGGGGGCGGAGGAGCGACTTCAAGGTGCAGCTGATGGCGATCAGGAAGAGCTTGGCGTGGTAGTCGCACACGCGGGCCACCGTGGCGGAGGACAGCTTGCACAAGGAGGCCTTCATGGCGATGATGCGCGTGGAGAGCACCTGCCGAGCAAAGCGTGGTCCGCAAGACATTTTTTTTCACGTGGGGGCACATCTCAAAAAAACATCCTGTCCCTTCCAATGGATACCTCCAGGGGTCATTTCCTGCTGGAGCGCACAGGAGCGAGCTCCGGCAGTAAAGAGCCCAGGGGGCGGGCACATGCAACAAGCCCCACCCCGCTCCCAGCAGCCCTCAGTCAGAGCAAAAAACAGCAAGGTAAGTTGCAGAGCCCCCCCCCCAGCCCAAAACAGTCCATTGGCACCTTTAAGACCAGGTTTTATTCAGGGACAAGCTCTCCCTCCTCTGCGAGGCCAGATCTGCATCCCCCCCCCCAATAGCTAGCAATCCAAAACAGTCCAGTGGAGCCTGAGCGGTGGGTGTTGCCTTCTGACACACTTCCGGTGAGGTCAGTGGGTGTGGTATATGCAAATGAGTTAGGCTAATGAGCTCCTGCACCTCTCTTTCTACGAAATGACCCCTGGATACCTCTGCTGCACATGCTGGAAGCCCCAGGGTGTATAGAGCTCCTAACAAAAGAACACTGGGAAACGTAGAAAGGAGTCCCGTGGCTCAGTGGCAGAGCATCCGCTTGGGGTTGAGAAGGTCCCCAGTCCAGTTCCTAGCATTTCCATTTAAAAGGATTAGGTAGGAGGTGATGGGAAGGACCCCTGCCTGAGACCCTGGAGAGCTGCTGCCCGTCTTGAGTAGATAATACTGACTTTGATGGACCCAGGGTCTGATGCGGTATAAGGCGGCTTTGTGTGTTCACGTAATGTAGGAGCAAGATTCGAGTTTGATTAGACCAGGGGTGTCGAACTCATTTGCTATGAGGGCCGGATCTGACATAAATGAGACCTTGTCGGGCCGGGCCATGTGTGTCCTAAAATGTAATGCCAGGTAGCGGAGATATATAAACTTTATAAAGGACGCAAACACAAAGGGTTTTTTTTAAACTTAAAATAAAGACATGTTTAAAACATATGGCACTCTTGCAGTATTTTGTTTATTGAACAGCGTCTGAAACTGACGCCTCTTGCTCTGAATGATCGCATCCAAATGTCTGTGCTATTGCAATCTTGAGTATGCTATTTGGGTGTTTATCTGTAAGCTGCAAACTTACGATGACGCAGCAGCAGCAGAACTGGAAGAAGAAGCAGAAGGCAGCCCGTTCCACTGCAAGCCTGACAGAAGCCCTCCGGGGGCCTGATCCGGCCCCCGGGCCACATGTTTGACACCCCTGGGTTAGACCAACAGGATTTCCAGGATATATGCTTCTGAGAGTCAAAGGTCCCTAAATGAAGGGAGCTCTGAGTCTTGTACCTTGGAAATCTTGTTGGTCCCTAAGGTCCTATGGGACTCAAACCTTGCTCTTTTAGTGCTGACCAACATGGCTACCCACCTGGGAGGCACAGCTTTGCAAATGCGCTTTCTGACCAAAGAACAAAAGTTGAGCGTCATCACAGCACTATCTTCCCAGTCCCCCCACCCCCTTTGAAGAATGATGACGATTAAATCAGTCTCAGAGCAATTTCACACCAGTTGAGAGCTGCGTCCTCAGAGGTATATTTTAAATGCTGTTTAATAAGTGAAGCCAACAACGAACATAGGAGCTGTTCAGTTAACCCTAAGGAGCTCTGATGGGAAACTGCAGGGGGCAGAACAGTTGATTTAGAAAATAATCTCTATCCTGCCTATTGCGCTGATGTCCAAGATGGTTAGAGGAACGGCAGAAAACTGAATTAACCTTTGACGCCGGGGAGGGTAGGATTTGAACTTGCAGCCTCACCTGCTGCAGGGCTGCGTTCTGGCGCATGTATTCCTCGTGCAGTTTCTCTACCAGGTTCTGGACCATCCCGGGCTGGACGTGAAGCAAGATGTCCCACCAGTCGTAGCCGGTGACCATGCAGTACTCCAGCAAGAAGAGTAAGTGGCGGAGAGACATGTTCATATCCAGGACGTGGCCCATGGAGGGGGAGATCCGGAGCATGCTCAGCTGGGACCGAAGAAAAGGATCATTAGCAGCATCCTGAGAACTCGCAGCTCATGTGCACTTAATTAAAAAGGACTCCGTGGTTAGACTCTCATGCTGGAACTTGGGTCTAAAATGGTCTGATTCTTCTTGCTTAGAATCAAGGCCAGAGTGCTTGCGCTTCTGCTTGCCTCTGTTGCTAAACCGGAATGGCACAGAGAATTTGCACAGGTCCCTTGCTGGCTATGCCCCTAGGATCCCTGTTTGAAGGAGGAAAACACATCAGTGTCCAGGGAATTAGGTGACTCCAGAGAGTGGGTCCCAAAGCCACATTTTACTAAACACCTCCAAGGGTTGCCTGTGACTCATGGCTGAGGGAGACCACCATGTGCTTTCTTCGCAATTCCTGGCCTCTGGCTCACCTTGCCGTGGCTGTCGATCCCAACCAGTGCCAGCGATGTCCAGGACATCTGCACGGCTTTGAAGTGGACGGAGGGACCGGCTGTCCGCTGCCTCTTGATGGCCTGCTCATCAACTGGGCGCTGAGTGCCGTAGGAAACCGCCATGGTCTGCAATGTGAGGCGGTGGATGATGTGAACACTGCCATCGTGGAAAGCGAGAGCGAGTCCTGCCAAGAAAAGAGAGTGGAAGGATGGGGACTTGGGGGCAAAAGGTTGTTTTGAAAAACAGTGTCCCCAATGAGCCAGTCTGGTGTTCTGGTTAGGAGCACGGACTCTAATCTGGGAGAACCGGGTTTGATTTCCCCACTCCTCCACATGCAGCAATTGGTGTGACTTTGGGTCTGTCGCAACTTCTCTCAGGAGCCGTCCTCGAAAGAGCTCTGTCAGCCCCACCTACCTCACATGTTCTCTGTTGTGGGGAGGGGAAGGGAAAGGAGATTGTAAGCCGCTCTGAGACTCCTTCGTGTAGTGAAGGGTGGGGTATAAATCCCTCCCCCTCCTCCTCCCCTTCTTCATTACAACTAATTCTGAACAACGGCCTCAGAGTGTGGATCAAAAAATGTGCACAATGGGGCTATATTACAGATAGGGAGTATTTTTATACAAACTTGGGAGGGAAACCAAAACAAACATTCAGGGGTCAGAAACACATGCAATCACAGAAGCAATGCCTGCTTCTTTCATAAAATAATGCCACCAAGATCTGGTGAGATTATGTTGTGAGACCTCAGAGGCCATTCCATCATTGTCTAGGCAACTCCCAACACTGCTGAGGCTATCAAACCTCGGTCAGTGTCAGCACTAGGGATGGGCACTGCAAAATGCGGTTCGTTCGGTTCATGGTTTGGCCGGGAGTTGGTTTGGGCACCAAACCAGTTTGTAGCAGTTTGTGGCCCCTGCTTTCTGCCAAAAGTGACAGGGAGTAGAAAGGTTAAACCCCCTGCTTTCTGCTCCCCACTGCTCAGCTGGTTTTGGTGAAGAGCAGAAAGCAGGGGTTTTAAAATGGCTCCAAGCCCTTTAAACTCCTGCTTTCTGCTCTTCAAGAAGCGCGATGAACTGCCTCAAAAATTGGTGGAAGTTTGTAGGGGCTCTTTGGTTCGCAAACTTTGGTTCTTGAATCACGAACCGGTCAAAATTTATCATGAACTTACACTTGTGAGCCGGTCTGTGCCCATCCCTAGTCAGCACAAGGGAGGGGACTAAAACACATTAGAGAAGGTAAGGAAGGGTCCTTTAAACTCCTGCTTTCTGCTCTTCAAGAAGCGCGATGAACTGCCTCAAAATTGGTGGAAGTTTGTAGGGGCTCTTTGGTTCGCAAACTTCGGTTCTTGAACCACAATCCGGTCAAAATTTATCATGAACTTACACTCGTGTGCCCATCCCTAGTCAGCACAGGGGAGGGGAAACAGACAGACTAAAACACATTAGAGGAGGTAAGGAAGGCAGGTAAAGCTGGAGGCAGGAAGAGCAAAAAAAGGTCAAAAGGAAAAGCTGGAGAGGTGGGAGGGAGCAGAAAGATGAGTTTGTGAGGCAGTGGGGAGAGCAGAAGCTGAAGATGGAAGGGGAGATAAAAAGGTAGGTAAAGCGAGTGCAAGAGAAGGAAAGGCAATGGCCATTGCCTGGGGGAAGTAAAGAAGAACAACAAAATGGAAAGAGGAAATTACAATGTTAAGTTCCCCCCCCCTCGAGTCCTCATGGGTCCTCTGTTTATATAATCGGAAAATGAAAACGAGCTGCTTTTTAAGACACAGGGGGCCAGTTTGGTGTAGTGGTTAAGTGTGCGGACTCTAATCTGGGAGAACCAGGTTTGATTCCCCACTCCTCCACTTGCACCTGCTGATGTGACCTGGGGCAAGCCGTAGTTCTGATAAGAGCTGTCCTTGAAAAAGAGCAGTTTGTGTCAGAGTTCTCTCAGCCCCACCCACCTCCCAGGGTGTCTGTTGTGGGGAGGGGAAGGGAAAGGAGTTTGTAAGCCGCTCTGAGACTCCAAGTGAAGGGCGGAGTATAAATCCAATCTCTTCTTCTTCTTCTTCCTGAAGCTGGGGTTCCAGCAGTGGGCCTGCTACGTGCAAAACCCACAGTGGCCGCATTTAATCTCTGCAGTGCCACTACTGTAGATGGCCAGACAGAGGTATTGCAGCGACCAAGTCAGGATGAATCAGGTGACACAGGGAACCAATCAGGCTCTACCTGGCTCCATACAGTCTCTCAAGCCACAGGAGGGAATGTCCCTCCTTCCACGCTGCCCTAGAATCAGCAGACTTCAACAGGGTCTGCTCTGATTGGCAGCAGCTCTGCAGGGACTCTAGCAGAGAAACATCCTTCGGAGCACCCTCCTGGAATCCTTTTAAACTGGAGCTGCCGTGGATTGGCTCTGGGGCCTTCTGCACGCGACAGAAATGCTCAGCCAACAAGCTGCTAGAGAGCCAGTTTGGTGTAGTGGTTAAGTGCGCGGACTGTAATCTGGGAGAACCGGGTTTGATTCCCCACTCCTCCACTTGCATCTGCTGGATGACTGTGGGCAAGCCATAGTTCTGATAAGAGCTGTTCTTGAAAAAGAGCAGTTTCTGTCGGAGCTCTCTCAGCCCCACCTCCCTCACAGGGTGTCTGTTGTGGGGAGGGGAAGGGAAAGGAGTTTATAAGCCGCTCTGAGACTCCTTTGGGTAGTGAAGGGTGGGGTATAAATCCAATCTCTTCTTCCTCTTTTACCTCCCAGGGTGTCTGTTGTAGGGCGGGGAAGGGAAAGGAGTTTGTAAGCCGCTCTGAGACTCCTTTGGATAGTGAAGGGCGGGGTATAAATCCAATCTCTTCTTCCTCTTTTACCTCACAGGGTGTCTGTTGTGGGGAGGGGAAGGGAAAGGAGTTTGTAAGCCGCTCTGAGACTCTCTTGGGTAGTGAAGGGAGGGGGTATCAATTAGTTTGTGTCAGAGCTCTCAGCCCCACCCGCCTCACAGGGTGTCTGTTGTGGGGAGGGGAAGGGAAAGGAGTTTGTGAGCCGCTCTGAGCCTCCTTTGGGTAGTGAAGGGCGGGGTATAAATCCAATCTCTTCTTCCTCTTTTACCTCATAGGGTGTCTGTTGTGGGGAGGGGCAGGGAAAGGAGTTTGCAAGCCGCTCTGAGACTCTCTTGGGTAGTGAAGGGAGGGGGTATCAATCCAATCTCTTCTTCTCTTCTTCTCCCCCCCCAAAAAAACCCTATTTAAAAAATAAAGTTACCAATAAAAAAGCTTCCTCACCCAACCCAGGGAAGAACTTGGTGTCGCTCGCCACTTTCAAGTCCGTGTTGGTCAAGGAGATGGGCAGCTTGGGCAAGGCCACGGCGGATACCCGGTCCAAGTCGTTGGTGGCCGAGAGGATCCGCCACTTCAGAATCATCGGCGGCTTGTCCCCCACTTCAGAGAAGGAAAACAACGGCAGCGGGTTAACGAAGAAGAATCTTTCCCCCTCTCGGCACACCCAGGGCTGCGGGAACTGGGCACAGAAATTCGTTTCATTTTTATTTTATTAGATTTCGATCCCGCCCTCCCTGCATAGCAGGCTCAGGGCGGGTTCCATCAATATAACATACAAAATTAAAAACAATTAAAATATATCAGATAAAATACAATAATATGTTGTCATAAGAACATAAGAGAAGTCAATGTTGGATCAGGCCAATGGCCCATCCAGTCCAACACTCTGTGTCACACAGTGGCCAGAAATACCAGTGCCATCAGGAGGTCCACCAGTGGGGCCAGGACATTAGAAGCCCTCCCACTGTTGACCCCC